TATGTGACTTTCGTCCGAACATTCCAAAATCTATAGGTCAAGAAATTCGTACCACCAAAGCGGGACATAACTCAGTTTTCACACAAAAACAAGTTATGCTCCGCTAAAATACAGGAAGCAAAGTAGAACCCTCGCACTTAGCACATCTTGTAGCCGGTGTTTCAAAGTGCATAGGTCATCGTTGAATAGAGGTTCGGATTTCGATAGAGTTTTTAGCGGAGCATAACTTGTTTTTGTGGGAAAACTGAGTTATGGCCCGCTTTGGTGGTACGAATTTCTTGACTTATAGGTTTTGGAATGTTGGGACAAAAGTCACATAGGTGGATGCAGAATTTCAAGGGCTATCAACTGGTGGAAAAGGGTGAGGTTGTGGGTGTGGGTGTATGGTGGGTGTGGGTGTGGGTGTGGGTGTGGGGGTGGGGGTGTGGGTGCGGGTGTGGGTGGGTGTGGGTGTAGGTGTGGGTGTCGGTGTGGGTGTGGATGTGCACAAAAAGGGAAATGACACCCACACTAATACCCACACCCACACTAATACCCACACCCACACCCCACACCCTACTTCAAAAAGTGAATGAAACAGATGAGTCACACTAGAATGTGTAGACATCAAAATTGTCCTGGCAAACCCTTTCTGTAAACACTTAATTTCTATTGGCTATTGCTCAGCCAATACGATTTGGAGGCAAATACAGCTCAGATTTGAACTCTTCACCTTGATTTACCCCAAGAAACTCGTTTTTCCTATAACTTGATTTCTATTGGTCACCGCTCAACCAATGGGATTTCGAGGCGAATGGAACATAGATTCGAGTTCTCCATTCTAGAAAACCTCGAACTATCATCTCTGTGATGGGAAGATAGAGCTCTAATTGTGGATCACATACAGTGTGGACAAAAACAGAACCGAATTCCGATTAATTATCTTTGCAATAGGCGAGTTAGCTTACTTGTTTCTTTATGTTTTATATACCATTTTGTAGCTCGTGAAATTCTCTATCGAATGGTATATAATAGTTGGGGTTTTATTTGACTATGATAGGAAAAGTTTTTTATGAAAACAGAGAAGGGTCTATCTTCTCATAGAGAAAAATGAGTATTTTTGCAATAACTCAGGAAGGGCTCGGCCAATCCTTCTCATCTTCGAACTCGACCGAGATATTGTTAAGACTGAACTGTGTAGAAGATTTCATCGCGATCTGACTCTCCTTTCAAAAGTTATCGTGTAAACGGCCGGACGGCCGGACACACTGACCGATTCTAGAGTGTACTCACTTTTTGAGTACACAACAATCTCCATGCATCTATGAAAATTGATTTTATTTGATTCATGTTGGCATGTGTGGGTGTAAGTGTGAATGAAGAGAAGACACATACATCCACACCCACACCCTCGTGGGTCTTTTGTGAATAACTTTTGGTAGAAACAAGATAGAGCGTTGCGCTTTTCATCGTTGGAGAGAGCAGACGAAAACGCATCGAATCGTATAAGACAATGACTCTGCCTTGGATTCTTGAAACCTTTTGTAATAGTTGAACAAACAAAATGCCTTAAAAACAGGTTCGATTTTTCCAGTAAATACGAAAAAAACTGAGTTTTTTAACAAAATCGCTGACAAAATGAACTATAATCATCGAATATAGTACCTAGAACTTCCAACTCAGCAAAGCTTTGAATGAAGCATTATATATAGTTTTGTAGCTCTTGAGCTGACGATTCTAGTGTACTCATCAAAGTTTAAGATTTGTTCTACCTTCAAAGAGCAATAGTCTACTCTTTCAAGATGACAATAGATCACTATCTATTTTTGCGATAAACCTTAACAATTTTATATGAGTTTATGTGTTGAATCATATTCTTTCCAACGGAGAAAATCGTAGGTCTCTATCTTGTTCCTATCAAAAGTTATTCAAAAAATACCGACGTGTCTTTTATTTTGAAATGGGACGTAGTTGAGTATATCTGATAAATATATCTCTAAAACTTGATTATTTCAAATTTATTTTCTCATTAGAAAATTCTTTATATTCATCTTTAAACTTTTTTAATCTAATCGTTCAATATTAACAACTTGTTCTACTATTAAAATGATTAAAACTTATATTAATAAAAACAAATAAGTCTCAATCGTTTGTTCAAATGTTCAAAGATTTTTATATGAACTGCTTTTATTGATTATTTATCATCGATAAAAATAAAACAAAAATAACGTTTGAATATTTAGATTTTCATATAAATAAGTATAATATTATCTTGATGAATTTTTTTTTGTTCATCTCGTCATTGATATGTGAATATGAAGTATTTAAGGTGATGATGTTAATCTTCGTGCTGTTCTAGTTAATGGTAAAAGAAAAAAAAGAGATTTTCATTCGAAAAATAAACATTCTTTACCAATATCAATGCTTTTAAAGACAAAACAGATAAAATATTTATAAAAAATTTTCAATTTAAATTCAAGATTTGTAATATCTTTTTTCATAGATTTTCGAAGATAATGATATTCATTGTATACTATTTCAGATTTTCAAATATTTTGGTTATTTAATCAATAATATAAATCATTATCGTATTGATGATACTTCAAATTATTTAATAAAATAAATGTTCGCATCGATTAATGAAAATTATATAAGATTTTATTTTGTTAATCTTTTTAAATTTAATTTCAGATATTGTTCTTTTTAGCTTGGATATTTGATTAGAAAAAAGTGCCAATTATCGAAGGAATGATGCATTTAATTTCTATCATATTATAATTAGGTGAAAATCTATATAGATTTTTTTTTATGAAAAACTTAATCAACATTTATTTCCTGTTCTATCAGAATAGTTATCTGCAGTAAAAAACATTTCATTGATAACTTATGATGCAAAACTAATGCACAAAATGTCGATCTTTATATTTGTTCTATAAATAGACTCGAAAAATAAAATTTTTATTATGATTTAATAGAACATTTTCTTCTCTTTCAAATAGTATGTCATTTATATTTGTCATAGATTAATAAACGGAATAAGAAAAATACTTTCACACAATTTCTATGAATCAGTCAAAAGTATCTTGCGGATAGTAATTAAATATAATTAACTATCATTTTCAAACTTCTTTTAACGAGTTCATAAAAGGCAAAGCAACTTGAGTGTTTCAAGAGCTTATAAATGAGCATAGATAGATCAAATAAATTATTATTCGTTTCACCTAAAAAATATGTAACGAACATAAAACATACACCGTTCGAAAGAGAAGAATATTTCCTATACACTCCTAATAAAATTTTAGTTTCAAACATATTAATCGAAGAGTTATTTAGGAAATATATGAATCAAGATTTTCCATCATTTGCTAAATTCCATAAAAGGTGAGATATGTTTTGACGGTACCTCTCTTTTTTCTTACGTCGTTCGGTTTACAGACATTTTATAAAAAGAAATGATATAGCTAGAATTCGAAAGAGAAAAATGGCATATTTATTAATTCTAGTAAAAATAGTTTTCTTTCAACAGCTGTCTATCAAAAAAGAATAGCACTCGACATTTAATATCATTACTTTGGGATTAGATCTTATAATTAGAATACAATTATCGTCCATTAGTTAGACAAAGTATGAATTCAAAGATTCATTAGATTTACAATTGAAAATATATTTTAGCCAATTGTCTCACATCTAATAAATCACTAAGGTAAAATAGTCTACAGAACATTAGAGATTTTAACCTTCTGCATCATTCGATTTCTAATAATAAGCAATTGGTTGATTTTTATTTTGTGTTGCTAAAACTTTTGTTGCCAAAGGTAAATGAATATTAAAATCTTTATAAAATGTTTTTATTCAATTGATTTTTGAGAAGTAAAAATTGATGAAAGAAAATTAGTTTCTACTTATTTCCCGGATGTTTTTCATCGAAAACTAATGGAAAAAAGTTTCGAATAGCATCTATTGAATCACAGTATGTTTCAGAAGTGGGTAAATTTTCTACTTTAGAACAATTATATCTTGCTTGTTGTTGATTTTGATAAATGATTATCAATAGCCAGTCCGATTAGAGAAGAAAGATAACTTCGATAAAGAAATTGTTGAGCATAATCCATATGAATATCGAATAGAATCAATGTAGATAAATGAGTAAATTCTATATTATTTCATCTTGTTATTCAATTTCATTGAATAATTCAAGTGTTTTAAGATGAGATAGATCTCGAGCAACACAAACAAACAAAAGATTTTTGGATGATTTTATATCATCATAAAATAATAAGGTAGTTATCATTGAAAACGTCTTATTGTTATCGAATAGTGGAAATCGATTTGAAATGAAATCAAAACGATTGCCAATAAATAGAAGAGAATAGATTTGACATTGACCATAATTATTATTGAAATAATCAATTGTACAATCAACAGATTTTCATAAAGTTTTGACGAATTTTATCAATGTTTATACGAATAACGTTTTCAAATATTGTACGAATGTGAAAATAAAATAGATGTATATGAGGCATATATGAAATAATATCGTTCTCCAAATCAAATCCATTAACAAAATTCTTCAGTCTACTTGTTGTTCCATCAATAGATAATAATGGGTGGCGGGATGTTCGCCAATAAGACATTCGCCAATGGCGAAAGTATCGGGGATGTATTGGCGAAATTCCACGGGATGTATTGACGAAAATGAGATGGACTAGGGTGTGGGTGGGTGTTTAGATGTGAGTGGGCGTGGGTGTGGGTGTTGGCGTGGGTATGTATGGATCAGCAGAGCTTTCACTCACACGTCACACCCATACCTCACATACATATCTCACACCCGCACTCCATTCCTCAAGTCAGCACGAAACGCGTCGTAAAATAGCTCGCAATTCGTCCTTTTTCCAACTTAACCTCACCTCACCCTCAAGATCACGCGACATATTCTTATCTTTCTCCTTCCTTCTTTAAAATCTTTTTCATTCTTTCTGCATTCAGCCGACAGGCAGTTATTGTCATAAAAACTTCGACGCATGGCAAGAGTAGCTGGTAAAGCTCAATGTATGATTTGTGATACAGAAAAAAATGCAGTTAAATGCGAATGTTGTTCAAAAATGTTTTGTCATATTCATTTATCGCTTCATCGTGAAGAACTAAGTCAACAATTAGATGAAATCGAACAAAATTTTGATCTTTTTGGAGAAACACTTACTCGGAAGAAAAACCATCCTCAGCAACACTCGTTAATCAAACAGATTGATCAATGGGAAAAAGATTCAATCAATAAAATTCAGCAAAAAGCAGAAGAATGTAGACAATTAGTATTTCATCATTTAACAAAACATTTTACTCAAATAGAAGACAATTTCGTCGAATTAACTAATTAATTGAAACAAGTTCGCCAAAAAAATGATTTTAATGAAACAAGTTTAAGCTATTTGAAAGAACAGTTATCACAGTTATCAAAACCTCAGGAACTACTTAATATCTCTATTCGACAAGATTCTGATTTACTTGTAAACAAAATTTCAGTCGTTGTGTGCTCCGGTAAGTATATTTATTATATCAAAATTTATGAGAGAATCAATTAGTAGAGAAAACTGAACTGCTGTTAAAACTTTCCAAATAATCTACCCATGAATGCGCTACATTTAGTTCTAAGATCAACAGTTGCTTTTTTCCAACTTTTGGGTGGCGGATGTGGGTCTATGGTGGATGTGGGTGTGGGTGTATGGTGGGTGTAGGTGTATGGTGGGTTTGGGTGTGGCTGTGGCTGTGAGACAGTTAAGATAACAAGAGCCACAGTCACAGCTACACCCACCCACATCTACACCCACACCCACATGCACTTCCACACCCACCCACACCCACACCAATACCCACACCCACCCACACCCACATCCCACACCCTTTATATCATTTTTATCTTCATAAAAAGAAAATCTTTTTTTCTACATTCTTGTAAATAGTTTACATTCTTGATTACTGTGAGGATAGATCGATCTTTTCTTTTTAAAGATGGAATGGATGGTGTGCAGCAAAAGCCAACATCTAGTTCAGAAAAATTAAAATGGCAAGCCAACGCAGCAATGGATAAAGGACATTACACTTTAGCCATAGAATTATTTAGTTATGCATTGAAACAAGTTCCAAAATATGCTCCTTATTTAACCAATCGTGCTTTATGTTATTATCATCTAAATGATCCTGAGAAGGTTTTAAAAGATGCTTCAGCTAGTATTCAAGCTAATCCACAATTGGTAGATGGTTATTTTTATAGAGGAAAAGCATTAGAGATGTTAAATCGTAAACAAGAAGCAATAGATTGTTATCGAAATTGTTGTCAATTACAACCAAATCAAAAAAAATATGAAGATGCTCTTAGGGAATGTCTAAGAACTTCACCGTCATCGTCAAAAGCAAATAGAACAGTCGATCAAATTGCAAGTCATAATGTTGTATGTGATGTATGTAGATGTTATCCAATAGTCGGTATTCGATATAAATGCTCAATGTGTGATTATTATAACCTGTGTCCAAACTGTCTTAATTCAAATCCAAATCAAAAAGAACATAAAGATACTCATCCATTAACTCAAATTAAACAAACTCAACAGTTTTCACAAGTATTATCAAATTTACTACGGTCTGAAGCACGTGCACTTAGGTTCGAAGCGGAAGCAACGTCAAGACGATCTCAACTTTACTTTCTTTCGTGGCGTAAAGTCGAAGCAAAAAGATTATTGGAAAGAAAAAATGATCTGTATAGGCGGATGAATGAGAAACATCAGCAAGCTGCTGAATTGATTTTCGAGCATTATAATCAACACCGCCCAAATCATGTCATCGATTTGCATGGCCTTTTCGTTAAAGAAGCGCAAGAATACCTACAACGAAAATTAAATGAATGTCGTTCAAGAAAAATAATGCAGCTGACAGTTATTACAGGAATGGGAAATAATGCACGAGAAAAAGTTGCGAAAATTAAACCAGCAATTGAGATATTTGCCCGTAATAATCGCTTGAAAAGTATGTCCTTTGGTGGCCATGTTGTGATAGATCTGACAACAGAAGATTGTTATGAATCGATTCGTCATCAAAGCACTAACAATTGAGGAGTGAGGGAGGGTGAATCAGTCGAAAAAACAGATCGACCTGTACAGCTAAAATACAAGGAATTACTCAAGTATTAGATCATCAAATTTTTCGCTATTTTGAATCCGTAACCTTCTTCGAATTATCAAATGTTGTAATATGCAGGCCCTCTTCGCTTGATTATATAACCTTTACAATATTTTTTCTTAATAACATATTCTTTTCAAACTCTTCAATGTAAAAAGAAATTCTTTCATACATATTTATGTTCACTTATTAGTTTTACAATTAATTAATCCGGCTCTCTGTAAGTTCGCCAATTTGGAATTTCACCAACAGTATATTCGCCAATTGTAATCCGTAGAATTATGACTCAACTAAATTGATGATAGAATATTTAAGTGTTACGGTCTCATATTTGATATGGAGTTTAAAAAATGATGATCAGTATATTATTTTTACTGATCTTCTTCTGATCATAGCTTTTCTTGTATATCAAGATGCATTCTTTTATATAAACATTATTTAAACTTGTTTTATTTCACATAAAGAGAAAAATGAACCTTCTATACACATATAAATTACAAGTAACGCTAATCGAGAGTCGACGGTGTGGGTGTGTGGGTGTGGGGTGGGTGTGGGTGGATGTCGGTGTGGGTGGGTGTGGGGTGTGGGGTGTGGGTGGGTGTGGGATGTGGGTGGGTGGGTGTGGGTGTAGATGTGTGGGTGTAGGTAGGTGTGGGTGGGTGTGGGTGTAGGTAGGTGCGGGTGGGTGTGAGGTATCCGTGTGTATTAATACACCCACACTCACACCCGCACCCACCCCAGATTGTTCATATCTCATTGAGGCCAACTTATCGCTAAAAGATGGAATCTAAACTACTTGAACACCTAAATATGTTCTCTTGCAAATGGATTGTCTCAAATGACGCTATCTGTGCGTTATGATTATTCAATAGTAAAAACATGACAAAGAAAGTCAATATTGGTATGACAAATATAGAACGAATAAAAGAAAATTATTCATTCTTTACCTTTGGAATAGAATCGTAGATTTTTTTTTCTTGTATATTCATTAAAAACGCAGGTGTATATGACTGTTTGAGAGGAATGATTAGTTTTATCAAATATTATTGTTTTATAGAGAAGAACAGATTATTTAAATGAAGCAATCTTAAACACATGAGAGATTTCTTTTTTCTTCATTTACTTATTAACGACTTTCAAATGTCCGATAAAAATCAAAGTTTTGCTTTTCCTAAGTATTTTATTTTTACTGTTATTCAAACAGAACAACTTTCGATCTTTTCTTCTTCTATAGAGAAACAGCTGACAAACAGCAGCAAATGGACAATGAAGGACAAGTTCAAACCAATGTATTAGGTGGAAAACGTGCGAATTTACCACCCGGACGACTTCGTGGTGGTGGCGGCGGGTGCTGTTATTCCGACCGCGACAGCTTCAACAAGTGCTACAGGTGCTTGGGGACATGGTGAGTGAGCTAATGTTATAATCCTTATCTTACACCTTTATGTTTCTAGTTTCGTAATCCTTTTTTTTTGGTACTGGGCTTGTACCCATGTAAAAAAAAAAGACTCAAAATTAGATTAAAATCGATTATTTTCGGATTAATAATCTATTATAATGGTACTATTATAACCTGATTAAAATCAGATTTTTCAGCATCAAAAGAAAAAATTATTTTAATTTAATCTTTTTTAATCTATTTTAATCGATTATCAAAATTTAATCTATTAAAACTGATTGCTAAATTTTTTTAATTGATTAAAATAGATTAAAAAAGATTAAATTAAAATAATTTTTTCTCTTGATGCTGAAAAATCTGATTTTAATCAGATTATAATAGTGCCATTATAATAGACTATAATCTGATTTTTAGGCGTCTTTTTTTACATGGGTACTTATAAGAAATGATGATTACGAAGATGTACATCATGTTTATTAATCTCGCTTTAAAAACATTTTTTTTAAAATAAAACAAAACTGTTAACTCTACATTTTTTGAAGTCTGCAGTGTTCTGCTAACCATGCATTATAGCCAAAACTCCAAAATGCAGTCTGAAGTTCATTCTTTTAAGTTAGTTAGAGTTCGAAGAGAGAAATTCTTCTGTTGAGACGTCTTTTTACTGTAACGAAAATGAAAGTCTAATTTACAGTAAAGATCAGACAATCGGAAGGCGACAAAAATGTGGATGTAAATGCTTGAGGACGCCGAAAAAGTTGAGTGATGTAAAACAAAATGATTGTTTTTCTTGAAACGAGAGCAATGTAAAAACTCATAGATACATATAGTAAGTTGAGCATTTCAGCCACAATTCGTGGAAACGTTTTCTGTTTAATTGGTTTGGATATTAGAAAAACAAAATATTCCATACATTGATGACCAATCAGGCATCAATATTTTGTTTGTAAAAGTTGAGTGATGATAGTACTATTGACACTATCAAGACAATATGTGTTGTATCAAAACTAAAAGAAGTGTGGGAGAAACTAACTAGACTCAAAGCATGATTGGGATGATCTGATGGGAGACAACGATGGTAGGCTTTAATTGCTCTATGAACATCGATCCATGTTTCATTATAGTCTTATATATTTGGTTGATTAACTCATGGATCCTCTCTTAATATGAATGTTATGATATTGTAGTTGTGATTAGTTTGAGAAAACTAGAACTGTACCTCAGTTTATTATAATTATCTAATATGTTATTGTTTGTAATTAAAGATATTGACAAATCGAAAATAATGTGGGAGAATCAATTATGACCAGTACTTGTTAATTTTGAATGTTTTTCTTAATTGCTCTCATTCCTACTTCTGATTGATAAAGATCAGAAACTAGTCATGATATATTAATTAATTCTCTATTAAAAAAAAATTGCATCAAGCAGATACTACCAAAATTCATCTTCTTTTCATTGAAATACTCTATAAGATTATATTCACTTCATGACATGTATGCATATTGATATAATCATTCTTCATCAACAATGTTGATGTCAATGTGACACAGTGACAATTATCGCCGTGATTATGTACAACTCAAGGTCACAGACATTTTTTTTAAATATATACAAAAACAGAATTATATATCTGTTTTATATTTTCTTCCTATCTGGCAGAGTATGATTCTGACGACAAATGTTTTTATCGGTTGACTCTGAGGCATGAATAACAAGAAAGAAAAAAAAGAATTGTATGAGTAGTAACGAACCATTCATATATATGTTATAGAATCATAGGAACAGAAAGGAAGTATGAAATATATAGAAAATCAATATTAAGGTAACAGATATGTATATATGAAACTGACCTTTTTGAAAGAATTTCTTATGTTAGTTTTGTTGAACTTTTTAATATCTCGCTGTACATGCAAAGGTAAACATTTTCTAAATAAGTTCGAAACACTATGAACCTTAAAAAATATTGAATTGACATGGCCTGCTGCAATCCGTCGAATAAAAAAAAGTTAATTTGCAAGACAATCAATTTAAGCGTTCTCAAGAATCACTATAGTAAAAATTGTCGTTTTAATTTCATAAGAAAAAAACTCTTCGAAGCTTTATGATATTAACCTATTAAAACGCGTACATTTTATTCTATATTAAATAGAACTTCTAATCTCATATTAACCCTTTCGAGTCGATGGGTCCCACCCGTGGAACCCATCATATTTTAACAAGAAAATGACTATAAAAATACTTTCTTTTTCTTTTTCCTTAGGCAGAAGATCATGTATAATGTATCATCTG